AATACGGACGTGTACAGACGGCAGCAAAAACATTGCAATACCTTTCAATTCGAGGAGTCTTATAGGGGAGAGAAATCGTGTGATTATTTCCACGGTTTTCGTCTATTTTCCAAAACACATCGGAAAAAAAATGCGTTGCCATTCTTTTTGCCATTGATTACATGCGAAAATCGTTCTTCATAAAAGAACGTTCATAAAAGTGCCCTCTATATCGCACTATGCCTACTATCTATGTGTATTATTTGTAAGCATTCATGCATGCTTATCTAAAGGAAGTTATATTCGCTATGTACACATTCGCACACGTCGATGCAATTTCCGTTTGGTGAGCAGAAAGTTTGATCACTAGAATTGAATATGTTACTTTTTTTCAATCATGGTCTTGAAAGTAGCTATTTCGTTCTAAAATTGGAGACATTGTTGCAATGATTCTTTTTTACATATTTCTTTTTTATAAAAATGAAATAGATTTGCGACAATATCTAATTTCTCAAAACACTGCACATCATAGCTCGATTCGATCATGATGCAAAAATTGTCATTTGACATTTGCTAATTGTGTAATCTCATGATGTGATATAATGACTCATATCTGTTTACCAACGGTAAACATTATTATTTTCTTGATAACAAATATTATACTAATCACCAACCCGTAACCGTATTTAAAATATACTTTCTCGTGCGATGCACAATCGCAGTCTCCTTTGTGTTATGTCGTGGTAAAAGGATTTCTCGTGTTGATTTCACTAAGAAAATTGTGCAGTGACTAATTTACAATGATTGATTTACATATTTAGAGAGAGAAGTCTTCTAATTAACAAATGGTTAACGGTGCACTTTGTAACTACCAAGGCACATTATTTTTAGCAAAATAAATGTTCGGGTGTGTATAACGCGTGATATAATCTTGTTAATCTTTCAGTATATAAGTGAATGCAAATCAGAAGCGATGTGATGTTTTGATGACAAGTTAAGATGATCCATTACAACTTATGTCATCTCAATAAAATTCTTTAGACATAAATTATATTTATTCCAGGAATAAAAATGAAACCAATGTAGGAACCTCTGTTCATGCGACTATATTGTCATGTTGTTTTGCGATATGAAGAACGCGTTTCCTCTGCGAATATGTGTTGACGCGAGACGTAGACAAAAGGAAACATAATGTATATAAACTAACGCTTTTTTGAGAAGCGGGCGCGGTTTTGTGGATTGTCTACCGTCGTAAAATAATAACGTTGTGAGATCCAGTTTGATCGGAATAAATACGTTCTCTTTTCCTTCAATTGAACAGCGATTTGTTACGACTGGTTGATTCCTGATTCCCAATATCACACCAATTGTATTCTCGCGCGCGCACATACAATTATCTTGTACGCAATAATATTTTAAGTAGTTGTTAATTCGTAATAATAAGGAATACTTTAGTTGCTCAAATGATAGGCGAGATTGACGAAATGTCAGCGTCAAAAGTCAAAATGACGATGTCGAGAAATGTACCTTGTTAACGAGCTGGAAGACTCACTCGATTGTCGTACACAGCGCGCGAGTCAGAAAATTGCACTGCAATCTTCTGCGCATCGCCAGACCAAGCAATATACTTTATGCCATTGCGCGTTTTGTCATGCGGATACCTTATGCATTTAGTGTGCAATAAACTATTCACACTTAGCGCAATATCCAACAAATGACAAGTTATTTCTAAAACAGATATTCTATTTTCGCGATATGAGCACATTCTTGCGTTTTATAACTAATCCGCTAGTGTTCTTAAATTGTTTCCGCAACAAATTTCACCTCGGGTATTAGCGACGATTAATTAGCAGATATTTAGACATTACTGTCTCATATCTTGAAAAAGATATTTGTGGCTATAATTCTCGTTTAGGGCAAATATTATCTCGCAGAAACGACACTACTAATATTTAAGGTGTATTCTGAGATTTGACCTGAAGCAACTTCCAATTTTCGAAGTTAGCTGGCATGCCTACGTCATTAGTTCGTAGCCTAATCAATAGACATAATTATGAAACTATGCGCCATTAATAGTCTCGGGTCGCGCGGGTCATAATCTCGTGGTGAAGGACGGTGCGGCACTAGTTCGCGCGTTATTAAGCGGGTGTATTTTATAGGAAACCGGTAGTTGGGCAATAACGAGCGAGGGTTGCCAACGTTTGATTATGGTCTGTTAACATTATTACACGCTAAAAGGGAATAACTGATAAAATACGCCGCATTGCGTCTTTTGAACAAGATTAGGCCAGTTTGTGAAATTCTTAAAACTTATGTTCGTCAATATTGACGCGGATAACGATTGAGACTCGTACTTCACCTGATTATTTATTGGCAAATAAGTGCAAGCGAGAAAAATATGATAAGATAACAGAGGAAGAGGAGTGTGCGAATGCGCATTAATTTTTTAATTAAATATATGATGAATAGCGTTTCACGTTTTTAGACAAAGCAAATGAAAGGTAAGAGACACATCGAGCTGCTATTTCAGAATGTTCTACAAATTATGATAATGTAAATCTCGTTGAAAAATGTTCGACAAAGTATCGAATTCGTCACGGAATTTGTCGTTCATTCACATCTGTCTGATTATTTCCCTTTTCATTCCGCGGTTGACTTTCTCTAATCAAAGGATGCGATGAACGTCTGCATTTCCTGCGTCCAGTCATTAACATTGGTACGTTTCGGTGGGGCCTTATCGTTTATCAGCGAGCGACAACCCCTTTCTATGTCGGCCACTTTGCCACAAGTCGGCCGCGCCATCCCCAAATCGCTAAACTATCCTCCAAACACCAAGTACCGCACTAGGGAAACTTCGATGTTAGCCACCCTCACACCTTCGCCGTTCGACCCTAGAATCGGCCAAGTGGCCGAGAATCTGACCAACGAGCAATTACGGACGAGGTGCCGAAAGATTTTGCGGCACGGAAGATTTACCACTAACGGACAGCCTGAAATTATTTACGGAGCTAACTGACAAGCAATTCTATTTTCGAGTTGCCGAAGACCCGGCGTTTTTGATAGTGACGTTCGACAAAACGCTTCAAACGTACAAATTATCTTAATGAGCAAGCGACTTATAAATCATAGCGCGTGGTGCAGTGACAGCCGTACATTCATCAACTACGGACATGCTAAACCTTTTTTAATCTCTTCTCATTTTGCCCTCGCGAAACGTGCAGCAGATCGTTCCTTTTTTTTTTTACTAATAGTCAACAATACAAATAGTTACAAAGAGAGGTTTTACAGTAAACGACTGGTCCGATCATGATACAAGTGGATCGCGCTGTTTATCAATATTGTCAGAGAAACGTGGTGAATCGTATTATTTAATTTTTCGTATTGACTGCTCTTACTGTACGTTCCAGTTCGTCAACATTTGTCGAAACACATAACTTTGTGCTGGCGGTATATGCTCTTAAAGCGCGAGTTATAATTAAACTGCTCCGATGCTCGCCTGTCAATTAAATCCGTATGCTTTCTCTAAAGATCACACTGCCAGTGATGTGACAGGTGATACGCTTTTATTTATCGGCAAGTAAATTTCGCGAAAATTTAACGTAGGATCGCGACAATTTCTGGGATATAGTCCGATATACGATGATCAATAATAATGAATATACACGGTTTTAAGACAGGTGCGAGAAACAAACGATCATAAATATTAATAATTTCGGAGGCGTTTGGTTACGTTCCTCTCTCTAAATTTGTCGGAATTAGTGAAGTATTAATATATTCTGCCGATGTCTATTGTGTATTAAAATTTAGTTTTAAAGTTTGTCTCTCTGTTTCTTTCTCTCTCTCTCTCTCTCTCTCTCTCTCTCTCTCTCTCTCTCTCTCTCTCTCTCTTTCTCTCTTTGTGTTTTGACCGGCAACATATTCTCGCTTATACTTCGAAATATTATTCTTTCGATGACCCGAGGGCAAACAATCTTTCACTTCCTCCCACACTGTAGCCCTTTGCTGTCAATGAGAATATCCGCGCAAATTTCAAATGTGTCAAATAAAGTGCAAAATTTACGAGTTTTGCGTCAGCAAAATTACGTTTAATTTAAAGTAAGATTATAACGGTACGTCATGCAGATAAGTTGGTATTGTTGCCAATAAATTTTGATAGATGATTTGAGAATGATCTTTTTATCAGAAATAAATATGTGAATATTGAGTATCTTTCTTATATTCGATGTATCTGGTATCGCGATAACTTTAACTTAAACCTATTCGTAATCTTGTGCGGGTAATTCATAATTTCAGTTATCAAAATTGCAATGACATCAATGGCTCATAACCCTAACATATTACAGTGACGTTTATAGCACGGTATCAGTGCGTATTTAAAAGAGAAAGCGTAAGGCCTTTCGGCTTGAAAAGCTGTATATTTTCCTTGCAAATAATGCACACGCGTCCTGTACTCAACGCGTAAACACCGGTAGCGTATCGAGTGACTCGGTTACCCGCATCGAGTAGATTTTCTGATTTAAACGTTTCTACTAGCAGCGAACGCGTAACACGGACGAACCCTCCGGCAACCCTCCGGGATTATCTCACCCCACGCCAATGCCGAGCGGCCCACTTCCGGATATACGCAGAGCGAACGCACACTCACGAAGCTTCCTCAATACCAAATACACCCAATCGGCACGATCACTTCGTTCTCGCGTGATCTAAAACTACTCGTTATTCGACCTATCCGCACCAATTCTCATCGCTGAGTTAACGCAATCCCAACGATCGCGATCACTTCTCTGTCGTAGAACGCTCCAGAAAGAGACCTCCGATTTTTCCCTGCGCTCCGCACTGATCGGCAACACCAGACTCTCCTCGATGAAGTTCACTCGATCGCGAAGACCGTAATACCACTTTAATCTTGCATGAGGGCCGGCGCGAGAAGGATTAGCCTATTCACCCCCCCTATCCGCACTAATCAACAGCACCAAACTTCCCTCGGTAGTTACCGAACGTAGACAGTGTCGTACACTTACCTGTTGCCAGAACTGGGCGAGCAGGTATATGCGCTCCTTCTTGAAGAGCCAGTCCATGGACTGCATGGCCTGTATATCCAGCGAGTTGGCCTCCGCGGAGGCCTGCATGCTGGCCAATGCCGCTGAGTTCAGACTCGCTAGGATGGGCTGCTGGAGCGCCGCTGTCACGACAGAGGTGTTACTACCGGCTACCAGATTGGCGTGGTATAAGGTCGCGGCCGGCGCATCCTCCGAACCACCAGTAGCCAGTAGTTGGGCCCCGATCGGCGCTGAAGGCCCTTGGAGCCCCAGTGACGAAGCCACTTTGACGGCTTCGAGCTTCTCCGGCGGACCCAAAACTGCTCTTCCTCGTTTGGCGCCTCCGCCGCCGTCTCCTCCTCCGCCTCCGTTGCCGATCGCAATCGGGGAACACGTTTTAGGTGGCGGTTCCGTCGGTACTGTCTTTCACTGGCAGTCCACGACGTAGCGCAAAGTGCGGCACGCGTCCACTCAACAGCTTGCACTTTCGTGTTATTGCCTCGCAATCAACATTGCCGGGCTGACACTCTACCGCGCACACTTGACTTTCATGAGTTTCCCTCTCGAAAGCTTTCTCCGACTGTGCTGTGTGCACCCCGCGCGTTCGATACAATTATCTCACTCACACAGTATATATTCTAGATATATCTATCAGTTTAATCTAAATGGAATATTTTGCGATCGGTTTCTCCCTCGTCGATCTATGATCCCAGCCGATCATTTGGGTTGTGATGTAGCGACACCCTGTCATTAAGGTTGTTCGTCTGACCGACGTTGAGCCCGACACGACACTGGAAATCCTGACTGGAATCAGTCGATAATTTCACTTTTGTCGAAACCGTGCTCGGTACCGCGGCATCATTAACACTATGTTGAGCGTCTCGATCTTTCCCGATCGACGGGTCGTGATGTCGCGTGATGATCCGTTAGGTAGTCTCGGAACTCCTGACCCGGACCATCCGCAGACTCGTCACGAACCCAAAGTCTTTCACGAACAGTCCGCTGACATTAACATCGACCTTCTCGTCTTTGTCGTCCACGTAGCGATAGCGCGAGCAGGTCTCCCGCTGCCGCATCACACGAATAGAGCAATGTTCCTCACCAATGAGGATTTAGTCCGCGACACTCGCTCACTTTGAATGCACAATCGACTACACAAAAAACAAACACGGCGATAGAAACACGGAGTCCCTTCCAAGTCGCGAGGGTGATCACTTTGTGATTCGGAACACTTTGGTGACACTTGGAGTAACACTTGATCGATACGGCCCGCGATTCCGAAATCTATTCTTCTTTGTAATCCGCTCCTGACAGAGTCTCTCGAGCCTCATCGATGTTGACCTGATAGCAAGTCTGATGTCACATCCCACTTATGCAGAAGAGCAGAGCAGTAAGAGGCCGCTACGTTTTTCAATGTCCTCCCGTATTTTCCCTTTTCCTCCTCCCTCGTGGTTCCACTGGTGCACCCGGTTTGCAAACCCTCTCGTCCGCTCTTGTCCGAATGACCTCAAGAAGAGAGAACGAGACCCGTCCTAGCAGGCTCCTAACCTGAAACTAAGAGCTACCGGACGACCGATGCAATGCCTGGAGGAGGCGCAGAGCTATTGGTAGGGAGTGGGCGGACATTGCGACACGTAGTGGGAGTAGGCCGGCCCCCAGCGCGACCAATCCTACGCTCTGAGAGCACCCCCACCATGCTCGTGTACCGTCTGATCTCGGAAAGGACACCACGGCGGTGGGGATAAGCCGCGGGAAGGAGCGGGAGGCCGCGGAAAGAACCGGAGGCTGGCTAGGTGGTCCCTACCAGAGCGGATCTCATATTTTCAACTCCCCGACCGCCCTTTTCCAACCCCTGCCGATCGCTAGTTCCCTTCTTCATTCCTTCCTCTTTTTCTTCTCATTCCCCATCCTTTCCATCCGATCTATTCCCCTCTCGCTCTGTCTATCGGTTTGTTTCATTTTTTAGACTTTGCTCTTTTTACTTCCCCCTCCCGTTCCCACCACCCCTCTCTCCTTCTCTTTCTGCCCTTAGGTTCTTAAGCCCGCCAAAATCCCTCGTCTTGATGGTATAAGTAAACAGCCTTTTTTTTGGATAAACATTCAAGTTAAAAGTTTTTGACAATCCCCAAAATGATCCCAACGCTTTATCAATACTTTATCAATGACTCGATAGAGCAAAGTCACAAATTTTTTACCAATATAAAAATTTTGTGTATAATATCTGAGTATAGATTGAATTATCTGTGATTAATTATTATATACAAAATGCTGATAGAAATATGATAGATGAGCGTTTTTAAAATTTTGTTTTTAATTCAAAATTTAATTTTGATTACTACAGAGTCGTAATTGAAGAAGAGCACTAGACATGAGAAAGGAAAAGAGATGTTTGAAATATTGTAAGAAACAATGGAATTAAATAATAGTTTGTAAATGACAGTTGTGCATTAAATTTTTTTATCACGCGCAATAAAAAACTTTTTCAACTAGAAATCAAAATTCTATTATTCGTCAAGTAGAACTTTTTTTCATCGACTTTTTATGTTCAGTTTAAAAGTAAAAAATTGTAGGAAAATTATGATTACGGAAATAAAATCGTTCAAACTGTCATTTATGCTAATGAATTTACTGGCTATCCAAAGTCTCCCACCGCCGTAGTGTACTCGCTATTACTCCCAGTGCTTCTCTTTCACTTGATTACTCAAAAATTGCTAAAAGAAGATAAAAACAGTAACAAATTTCTTTCTTGTTCCGTGAATCTAATCTAGTTGAAATTGAAGCACTGAAATGCAACAGCTTACTTGGATGCTACTTCAATTAGTGCTGTCAATATAACCTGAGTATCTAAATTCGCTGATTTTACTGGAGTACTCGTATAATACTATAAATGTATTGAGTATTCAAAACATCTCTCGGATAGTACTTGAAATATTCAAAATATTCAGGCGTCTGGAATTGACATCACTAATTTCAGCCGGTAACATCACTCACTTTGATAAAAGAGATCATGTTGTTAATGTAAATGGTTAATCGTTGTTTCAATAGTTGAATTGAATTCATGACATAGGCAGAGAGATTTCCTGACAAGTCTGTTTATTTTATTTCAAATATCCATTTTTGTTTAGCCAATTAGAACACGTGATTGTACTTGTAACTTGTATCAACGGACAGGAGAGGAATTTTTAGTGCACATAGTAAAAAAATTCGATAAAATATTGTTATAATTTTATCTGCCAGATGAAAGAAAAAAGAAACACTAGCAAGCTACTTATATCGGAATTGTTTTTGTCGCGATGTTATGGGGTCGACTTACGCGTCGTAAATAAAAAAATAGGCTAAGGGCACACGCGTGCAGATAATAGCCCACTGAAGGGGTTAGCCGGTACAACCCGCCTTTTACCGCGGTAAACCCATTTCGCACCAGTTAACTTAACTGGTATCGAACTCGGCGCATGTACGAGCACACGTACCATTCATTTTCATACTGATTGTCTGCCGTATTGATTTTCAGCCTCGTAGGGATTAATTATTTCAGTTTTGACTAAACGAATTTCTGGTGTAACAAATTAAGAGTTGAATATCACACGAGAAATTTTATATAATATTGCATATCACAAGCGATATGCGTACGTATGGAAATATTTTTTCATGAAACTCTAAACTGAGATTGAAAGAAGTATCTATTAATTATAGTTACGATAGCATATAGAGACTCCACTAATAACTCTATTAGCAACTGAATAAAAAGCTAATTAAGTTTTCGGAATTTTTATGGCATTCACATGTTATTAATAGCTGATAGTACTGTGGCATTATTATAGATCGATACAAGCAATTGATATTAGATCGATATTAAATTGATGTTAGATTGATATTGAATTGATATTTGAACGCATCGTCATTAAAATAAAATTACTTAGAAATTGGTTACTTGTTTGATCAACGCAACAAAATTGTAATATACTGATCGATTTCGTATGATCAAATATCCACGCTAATACCATCAACAGTTCAGGATTGGTTCCAATGACTAACGCGACCGTTAATTTAAGAAACTTTAGATAGTTATTATTAATGTGACAATGTCTGCTTTCGTATTCTGCAGAGGATACCATTCGTCTCGAATGTATTCTCGAACGGTGCATGGAGCTAAGCGATAATCGAAAATCGTTGCGGCACGAAGAAGCGGATGTCGCGTGTAATAATTAATGGGGAGAAACCTCTTCACGTTACATCTGTCACCGAATAATATTATGTGTGATATATATATATATATATATATATATATATATATATATATATATATTTGTCAAATTTTAGTACCTTGAACAAAACGATTGCTAATAAAGTATTATCAGTCGAATGAAATATTAACATAATCTCGCATTAATCCCGGTTCTCGAGCAAAATGTTGTTTCGGCAGAGCTTGTAAACGCTCGCACTTCGCCACGAGAACGATATGCGCAGAGTATCGGTTGCGTCACAAAGCTCGCGGAAATTTCATCAACTTCTAGTTTTCGAGACCGTTGCGGCGCGGTTATGTCAGTTCACTCGCGAGGTTAGCGTGTGAAATTTATCAGGCGCGACTCGACCACGAAAATACTACACGACCGCCGGCTTGTCAGCGCGTACTTTACGATCACCCGGTATAGCGCGGGGATTAGTTTGTCAACGCCGGCCGGCGTACGCGTCGTGCATGTGCATCCGCATGCACGCGCGCGCGTATGTATTGCGAGTGGAGTTAGCAATTCTCGCGTCTTACGTCTTCGACGGTTAGAAATATAATGTGGCGTTCACACTCGGATACATTGTTGGCAGAGGCGGTGATCCGAACGAACGCTACGTTATGCGGTAGTGGATACAGTGCTCTCCGCGCACTCGCTCCGCCGACCACGAGAAAGTGCGGGGGCTTAAGTTAAGTTTTAAATAGAACGAAGACACCCCTCGAATATAATTAAAACGCTCATGTAGACACATATCGGAGCGAAATGTTGAATCTTGACGGCACATCGCGTTATCGTACGTACATGAGGATTCTCGCGCGCCTCGCCTGCCCCCCCGCGCGGGTAATATTTATGGAACAATTGTGGCGGATACAAATATCTTGTATATTTAGCGCGGGCATGGAATTGTAATCATATTCCCTTCCGTGTCGTATCGTCGTCGTAACTCCGGGAAGAGATGCAATTTTTACAACTTTAATTCGCATTGCCGTTCATTCTGAGAATTCTCGTGAATCATTTTCTTCGTCGATACCAACAGTTTCATTGTACGCACCAAAGAGTACTGTTGGAATCGATACAAAAGACGAAAAAATTTTTCAAAAAGGTCGGAGCTTTTCTGTGAGAATCGAAAAATTTTGTGTGATTTTTTAGCTCATGTCACCGTAATAGTGAATTCTAAATAAATATAACATAGAAGACGACGGAGGGAATAAAATTTTCCGCTTGATTATATAATACCGAGAAAAGCTGGGCGCGCGAGAGCATTAGGTTTGCCAGATAATTAGAATTACAATCGAAGAGGTTATTCTTGATCGGATAAATTTGACTGACAGTTCGTTACTGCGCGTTTAATGAAATAATATGAACTTTCAGTGACATATTCTGAACACAGTTCTATCGGTTTTAGTTCATTATTCGAGAGATACGGTCTATAAATTCTTCAAAATAGCCTTTGCATCGCAAAATTATATTGTTATCGGTATAATTAATACGAGAGCAGTTATTTGTTTTGCAACGGGGGAGATTTACCGAATTTTTCAGAGAATGTCAAATCCAAACGAACGTTTTTTTGTCCCTTTTTTCGGCGGATTACGTTCGTTTTCTGCACGTAATAAAATTACCGACCAGAAATATAGCCGAAATATGACGAATTAAAAAATTTTTCTAGATAAAAATCGTCGCGTGACATACAATGGATTGCTTTCTTACCGATTCGCTTTTCTGGCATTTCGCGCGTTGCGAAAAATCGCGGCTCGTGCGGAAATCGGATACCTAACGATCGTTTATATTTACGATAAAGAGATAATATTACGCCGAAAGTATTCGACCGTGTGAAGACGCTCGGCGATTAGCCAAAAACACGAATACACCCTCGCGTTTTGCAATGCCGTTGAGACGATTTTACTGCTCGTATATACACGATATGGCCGGTCAGTTCTCGTAATAGTACGACAAGTTAATGCGTCGTCTGATATGCGACGTGCTGCCCGGATTTCGATGTACCGTGGAATAACTCACTTGCGACAAATCATTTCGAGTTTAAATTACATATTTCCCAGACGTGCGTCCGTAGCGGCGCGCGGGTTTCGCATTTACATCGTCCATCGATGAGAACAAAAACCGAATTTCTCGGCCATTTTCCGCGTCGCCGCTGCATCGCTTACGCGCCCGCGGTTTCTCGATCGCGTTTTGCTTTATGCAAATCACCATTGTCGTCGCCCGTCGCGGATTTTTACACGTGTCGCGCGGAAAAAGGAGAAGGACGCAAAAAGGAAAAAGACACGACTGTCGGGGATAAAAGTTTTTAATTCCCGGCTGTCCTTCAAAAATCGGAAATGCCGAATGTCGTGTGCCGCAAGCCGTTCTAACTAATCCCGCCAGTGATTTCTAACATAAACAAAATACAAAATTTTATTCCTCTCTTTTTCGCTTTGTCGTTCCGTTAACCGGTAAAATTGCAAGACGAGTCCCTTTCGCGGCCGGAGAACAATCGGGATGAGAAGCGACGTATTGGGAATTAACATGCTAATAACGTATGACAAGAGTGAGAGAGAAAGAGTATTGTCAAAGAGCGAGATAGCTCATTGATGTCTCTTAAACGAATTCCCGAAACGAGAATTTTGGGCGTGCAATCGGCAGGATTTCTTTACCTTGTCACGGAACGTCTAGCACATCGCGCACGAACGGCTCGAACAAAAAAGTCCCCGGCTGCGGCTGTCGAAAACGGAATCGCGACGGAGACGTCGTGCGTCACGGTCGTCTTGGAATTTTGCTGCTCACAGCAGAGAGACTCACTTTCTTCCAGCGGTCGCACGCTACTCAATATACTGGTCGACGATAAAGTCCCTTCCGCCGCCCTGTCCCCGCCATTGGTCTTCGAGGAGCAACGCGATTCTCTTCGAGGACTGCCCGGCGATTGTAACAATATCTTTTGCGCGGAGGCATACGAAGGATGCGCGACGTACGCGAGAGCCGTAAGTTCAAGAGCCGCGCTCAGGGACGTCGTCGTCGTGCGACACGCTCGCGGTAGGAACGACATGAGACTTGACCGTCTGTCTGACAGTAAGCGAAATCTTTTTTACACCGGATAAGAGCCGGCGGACGGACGGAAGGGGGTATAACGACGAGGGGAGGTGGCGCGGGATCCAGAGATCTGAACTTGATCCGCGATGATTATTTTTCGAGACGACGTTCTCTCGGGACACTTATCGCATGAGAAATCGCGAGCTTCTTTCCTCTCCGAGGAAACTATCATCCGCAGGGACATCCGCGCGACGATCGCGCAAGGTGTCGAAGTGGTGCAGCTGACGGCAGTGGATCGATCGTAATTAAATAGTCTTTTGTGCGCCCCTCTTTTTCTCCACAGTACCCCGTGCCGTAACGTTGTACCGAGTTTCCTACGAATTTCCTCGGAAAGACGCCCGCCCATCTACGTGATAATCGAAAATAGTAATTCACCGGCAATTTGGCACGGGAGAATCACCCGGACTAATGATGATCTCTCGCCGATTCTGAGTTTTCGAGTTTCGCGAACGCACTTGACGTCAGTTCTCCGCACGTTGAAACGCAAATGAAGTTTACGATCTCGTGCTCGAGACGTTAAGGTTTACGTGTTTGTCGATCTGAAACTCGCGCGAATTATAATAGTCAGCTAAGTGCTATCAACCGGGTCTCGAGTTCTCCGACAGAGAGCCACTCGAATCGCGTTTCTCGCCCTCCCTTCCTGAGCCGTAAAGTAAGTTGGTTGACCGCTCGAGATAAAGGTACGTAATGCGCCCGAGACGATCAGGAATCCGTCCGATGGTCACGTCCCGTTTCGACTTTCAGATAATCCTAGGGAAGGCCTGCACGTGTATGACGTATTCGCGGGGAGACACGACACTTTCAGCGCGTCGCAAGGAATCCCACGGAAATTAGTCCGAACGGGAATAACGATGTTTGTCGTCGTAACGTAACGTCTCCGGAGCAACGTGAAACTCGCTCTATGATTCCCTGATTTTTTTAACATATTATTGTCGAATGCGATTTTTGTCAATCGTGAACTATTTTCTTCACTTTGCCTAACATTTCATACCTAAATGCAATATCATAGAAATATCAAATTAAAATCATTTTCCGTTTTTGTATCTCTTGCTCAACGTATTTGCGACAAAATAATCAAAAGCGAACGAATTACCGAGTATTTAGAATGAACGTAATATCCCGTTAATAAAAGTAAAAAAATTTTGTTTCTCTGCATGATAACGGCTCGACGTAAAAGCAATCACGCATTCTATTTGAGATTTTAGGTCTAATGCGGTTCGTGCGTATCTCTTTAAATAAGGATCGCAATTGAAATGCGTGTGCACGCATCATGTCCATTGACACAAGAATCTTTCTAGAGAGAAGGCAGCTCAGAGCTATCCGCGCGCAGTCCCTATGTGCCAATCTCACCCGCGTCTACTAAATCATCACGAAATCTCTCGGGGGAAACTGTCACAACTGAAGATCATCACAAAAACACAATCACAATCGCCTGGTGACAATCACCTGGTGCGACACAGACTCTCCCCCGTTCTCGGCGTTTATTCTTCGGCGTCGTCTTCCCTCGGAACGCTCTCCTTCTGTCTCTCCCTCTTGATCTTCGCAGCCGTCCACGGAAAAAGTTGCGCGCACGAATCGGAAAATGAATTCAAGGATGACAGTCACGGAGCGTTCTCTTACTCGCGCGAGTGCCCTCGAGCGTGCGAAACGAAGAAGGAGTGTATCTCGCACCGAAGCACTGCGTGCACTCTCCGATGATCCGGCGCGTGAAGCGTCTTATCGGTCTGTTCGATCCACGCACTTCACGTGCCTCATGTGCGTGTGCGATGATCCTACTGGGCCTGTGTTCTGGCCGAGACTAACTCGAGCGCTCGCTGCCTGCAGCCCTCGCAGTCATCCCTCCGGCCACGCACTTTTCCACCCCGGCGAAAGAATTGTCCGCGGCGTCGTCGCGCTGCGGCGACCACGTCCTATCGGCAGGATGTTACTCTGTGCCGACGATCGTTTCTGACGTCTCGTGGACGATCGACAGACGTGTTTGGCTATCGTCGACATGTCCCGCGGGCGGACGAAGGGTGGACGATAAGGGTTGCAGACGCGTCGAAGGTGGACAAGACTTCGTCGGCTCGGGAACGGGGAACTGCTTTGGCGCGGGCCGTACGGTGGCGCCGCATAGCGCGAAACCACGGAAACTAGCCTGCTGGAACGTGAGGGTGGTTACCCCCACCAGGCTATCGAGCACCCCTTCCACCCACAACCACGAGGATACGGACCGTGCAACGCCGAGGGACGGTTCACTATATCAGGTATCGGAAGTATCGGTGACTTCAACGGGCTGATCGGAAAGAAGGGTTGCGCAACGCACCGGATATTTCAGGTTAAATTGTGAACATTTGACTCAAGAGGGTGAGAGAACGCGTTCACTTAGGACAAATTAGATTCTAATAACGAATCAAATTATATTGATTTGTGTCAAACTATATTTATAGAGACTAGATTTTGTATTCTTCCCCCTGTAATGTGTATGCAAATTTACTTTTTAATACATTATTGGTAAAATATGTTAAGTCTTTTTATTGGAGAGTAGTACTTGAGTATCCAAACTCACGAAAGTTAACCAGATGTCCAAATATAATATCTTAAGGACACTGACATACCCGGGTAGTATTCGAGATATTCGAATATGTGTAATAACACCAGCAATATGTATCACCCATAAAGAGGAAACGTGCATATACATCTTGTGATGGTAATTCCAAGAGATTTTACGTCAAGAGACAGATTCTAAAGGCGTATGCTCCAAGTCTGGACGGGCAGGTCGGGAAAGTAAGAAAAGGTTGATGGTTTGGTTCTCAGGTCTTTCCGATCGAGAGTCAAACCACGGCGATAGAGTGGGAAAAGGGGTGCGTGAGCATGCGCTCGGAAGGGGTGATCTTAGGCGCAGGATCTAACCCCCTTGGTGCTCCCACCGTTGTCGCTTCTGGGCAGCTCGACGTTTTTCCACCCTTATCTTTACTCGCTTCTCATCCTCATCCGAAAGCTTGTACATGCACTTTCGCAACTCGTACTGCAACAGCCGCGTTCGTGTTGGCGTCAATTTGGGATTGGCGTCATCGCGCTATCTCCACAATATCATTCCATATAATGGAAGTTCTCACCTGTTTTGATGATCTGTTAGATGATCCATTAGAAAAACGTGTATGCTTCATTGGTAGGTAATAAAAATTAGATCAATTTTTTAATTCATCTATTTGGATGTTTTTATTATCTCACTCTGTGTTAATTATTGCTGCCTTCAGCAAATAACTGTCATTATGGCCAACTTTATACATGTGAATATTTTCTTCTGTAATCAGTCGCTACGCGAGCGGCATACTAATCTTGCCTAACCGTTGCTACTACACGATGATTGTAGCGTATTCATGGACACTAATGTAACATGTGTACTTAGAATATACGCTGCCCTGGAAATAGCTTTCAGAAAGGTGCACTTGAACGAACGTTAGGAACTGAATAGGGGGCTTTCATCCTGAGAGCCGCGTCCGACAATGTGCAGCACACTCTTTAAAAATTCCCGCCCAGCATTGTCGCAACTTCCTCTCCGGTAATTGTTTTCACGATCAACCCCGTTAATTACAGTTCCCTTTACATCGTCGTGTTTCGCGTATCATAGAAATATGAAGCAAAAATTTTCAAATTTCTCAAAGAATCACAATTGCTCACAAGTTCTGCCATAACGATAGAAAATGTTACAGAATCAGCAACGCAATCACCAAAAGTCGCAGACATGAAAAATAAAGTAATTTATTGTTGCAACGAGTAAGAAGGTTCTCTCACTCGCTCTTTATAACTCAATAATTTGCAATTGTCGGGCAAAATTTTTGCGGAAACATAAGAATTTAGAATATCGCTGGTAAGTAGAAATCATTATGTATGTAATTGGTGGTTTACACCTGATATGTTTGACGTAATATATGTCTGCCGTACAACCTATTGTTCAACGTTGTCTTCCTGAGACGAAGGTTGAGCGTTTACTTTCGATCATATAATGAGTGGTAATGTAGGCCAGGAACGTCCACGAGAGATCGGATTTCGTCGTACGTGGCGACACTTAACACTCGGGTCGAATCATACAAGGAATAGTCGATTACATCTGATAGCGTGCCATATTTCTCAGAATTTCACATAATCGCCACGCAATACATAATATTATACAAGAGCGTTGAATCTGCAATAATACTAATCTATTTAATATCAAAACACTACACTATTATATTCATATTATATACATATGTACATTTTTATTTGCTTCTTAGAAACATTTGATCTTATGGTGCACATGTAAATACATGGGCACAACGTATTTTTATAATTAGACGATAGATAATGTGTAAACGGTTTTTATGCTCGTATAGTGTTTTATATTTAAAGATATTTTTGTTCTAACTCGGCTGTCGCAAATATAATGATCAAGACTCAATAAGACAACGATATCCCAAAGAGTGCTTACGTTGCATGGTAATATTTGTCATGCGTGATAAACAATTTAAATCTGCACGCAACGGCCACACAATTGCGTGCAGATTTCCTTCAACAATCTGACGAAATTTCGATTTACGCACCGATATCGCTTACCGATATAAAATCTTTTCCTGTATACGAAATATTGCGTTCAAAATTCACTTTCCTCGACTTACTATCCTGTAAACAATGATGTTAATCAATAATAAATTGCAAAAAAGAAAACGTTCAAATATTTAACATCGCCCATTAAAATTTGTCGAATCTTGTTTATACGGTTGTATAAAAAATATTAATTAATTAATAATAAAACAGGCATGCATACAAATAAGTATATTAATCTACGAATTATATATATAAATTACGCTCTAACATTTTGTCAAACATTTGGAAGTTAATAGTGCATCATTTTAATGAGTGCACATATATATTTTAAGCATGAGATTTTACTGTCACGAAGTAAATGATAAGCAAAACGTCCGTTCTTGCAGCAACGTAGTTCTCATGTCGCTCGTTCTACTTTATTGTGCAAAGCGAACGTTGTAATTTTGCCTAATTACCGCAGTAAGAAGTAATTTGTAATAAACGCTTCTGGGAATTAATTAAGACATTTCTTAAGATCGCATTTAATTTCCATACGTGTAATTGTGTGACGGAATATAATTCATTAACTTAAATATATTCGCGAATCATAGCACGTTATTGCACGTGTTCTCTATAATTGAATGAATGTTATCAGTTCACGCGATATCAATCTCCTCAAGAGTCATTAATTGTCGTTTACATAACGACAAGCTACTGCTTTTATACGTTATTTATAAGAGGTAACAAATTAAAATATAATAACGATTATCATTTCAAACAGATTAATATAAACTTTAAAGCATATACGACATCTGTTTGCTGCTAGTTCGTATTATAATCCTGTTCGTTTCCGAATTGCTTGAAGGTATTCCAGCTCAGTGCTAAAAATCGATCCGGACCGTGTCGAAATGACGCGCAGAAGGGTTCATAGAGTCGTCTAGCCGGTTCGAGCTGCCAACACAACTGTCTACACGATGGGAAAAAGCGGTCACTATTAATAAACATAGGCGGAATTGTTATTCGAAGATCTTGTATTAGCATGCAACGGGCCTGCCTCTCTGGCCCTTTATTGGCTGAGAAAATATGCGAGTGGCAGGAACAGTACGCTCAATCGCCAACTTATTCGCCGATTGTCATTAAGATTCCTCGGCATAGATGTAACGTGAATTCCATCTCTTGCATAATTAATGAGATTGCTTTGCATGCGCGTACATTGAAGTGAGCTTCTGAGATAATCCGTTGAAAGAAATCGGACGGCGTACAAGTACAAAATTGTTAGCGCGATTTTTGTGCACGGGACGAGCGATTTGTTTCGCGCAATCTACGACAAATACCGACCGAGTATCGAGCGTGATGTATCGTAAGTACATTTGTTACATTGCGAAAAATATCACCACAAAGTCTACTTGCGATATTGGAATTGCAGGATCAAAAAGCCCATGTCACGAGACTAATAATATGTCATTTTAAATACGTCAGTGCTCATTGTTTAACAAATGTGTTATCTGGCCATCTCAAGTGCCGTCGCAAGATATTTAAACGTAAAACACGCTTAATATCGTCTTTGAAACGATTGCTATCAAATCGCAGCATTGTTACGTAACTCTGTCGCATAGACAACGAATATTACGTGCGACATAAGGACACTCGGCTAACGTTGCGCCATTGGCGGAGCGTCATTCCGATCGAGTATTATCAAACTGTCGAGAGTAGTACACGCGTTCTCGCGCCGCGCCGCGACGTATTCCCCAAACAACGAATGCCGGTGGTAAACGATCACGTTGCGCAACGTGAAATAATTACGGCGCAAACAACACGTTTGGCCCGACCTGATACGCGTTATACAATCGTTATACAATACTACACGCTGAGAACACAAATAAATGATTCGATCGGCGCGACGCTGTCTCTCTCTCTCACTCCGGCCGGCAACGCGAAAATTGTGCATCGCGCGCGCATCGGCCCGACGACGCGGACAATTGCATCCCTTCTAGAAGCCATTCGTGATGAAAGTCCACCATGGCGCGGCGTCCACGGGGGCAATGGGATAGCCCGGTGCGGGAGTTACATTCCGGCCGAGATTAATTCAGAGCAAAGAGGAATTTAGCATCTATCTCTCCCGGCGACCATAGCCTCGCGCTCACTGCACTCGCGCTACCGTTTTCGAGCAATTATTTCAGCAACATTGCAAAACGATCGCGCTACAGCCGCCACCACCACCACCACCACCTTCGCCGC